AGTCAACATCTCTGCTTGCGAAAAGCTTCGGTTTGCTGTCTGAGACAACTCGTTCAAAGGGAAGCTAGAGAGGTGGGACAATTTCAAATAATCATCTTTTATCCATCTTTAAGCCTACTTCAGGTTCGAGAACATGCTCAAGTTCTTGTCCCTCAAGGTGTAGTAGATGAAGGAAAGAAGCTTCCATTGCCTGATACCGGCCTTGAAGGAGCACTCTTCGATATGTTGGATGTAGAAACAGATCCAACTCTCAGGGCGCATGTACAGGTCAGTCTCGATTGGACAATTTTATGATAAATACTTTATTCTTTCTAGGAAACCATAATATCACTAGTACAAGCCACCTGTGGTGACCTATTGAATCAGTGGTTACTTTTATGCAAGGACATTTTGGCCACGTCTAGTGATAATACGAGAAGTACGATGTTTGTCGGTGAGGAGAAAGCGGGCAAGGAAGGCGACGAGGATGAAGAGGTGGGTTTTAATCAAATCAGCTTTTCAACAAATTCAGAGTCACAATTTTTAAAATAATCAAATGGGTTGAATTCTTGTTCTTAGCCAGCCATTGTAGTTTTTCATTTTATGTCTTTGTTTTAATCACCCTGCGTTTCAGGGAGGTGATGACGATGACGCCACCCTTCAAGTTGGTGGTCCAAGAGCAGGTGTTCCAGATAAAGGCAAAGTGCAGCCACGATGGCCCACAAGGGTTTTTGCAACACAGGTATGCTCTTTCTTAAATGCCTTTACTTATGGCTACGGTAGCATGAAATTTCCCATTATTCCAGGTTGTTCAAAGGCTAATGAGCGTTTGCGATACAGAAAGAGCACATCTAGACTTGTCATTGGCAAAAGAACTGCAAATGTCATCGGGTAAGATACTACTGACACGTCTCATTTAGCCTTGTTCCAATCTGTTTTTGTGTATCGTATAGGAGGTCGTGCTGACTACCTTGTGCTACATCTTTCGGATCTTGTGCGAATGTCCTTTATGGGTGCCACCAGCGATAATACAGA